CACCGCACTTCCGCCGCGGTGCACCACGGGACTGTAGTTCGCTGGCTAAGGGAGCAGCCGAGCGAGGCGGCCGCGCTGCACGACGGGGGCCGCAGGCGCCGCGGGTTGTGAAGGGAGCGCTGGGCCCCGACGGACACACCGCCCCGCACGCCGCCGCTCGGGTTCCAGGGAGACGCGCTCAAGCCCAAGGAGGAGCCGGCCCCGGAAGCGCTCTTGACCTTGCCGCGGCGACTGCCCGAGTGCGGATGAGGCCGTCTCCGGCCTGTGGTCATTGGCCGAGCGCCCGTTACGTCATCAGAAGCGCCCCGCGGCCCGGAGGCTTCTGGGTATCAGTTTACCCCCGCCCCTTGCGCCGGCGCCTTCCTTTCGCTCCCTGCCGCCGCCGAGGTCGCACGCGTGAGGCCAGTCCGCCGCCGCCAAGTGAGTGGGCCCGCTGGGCCCGGACCGCGGTCGGGGGCCGGGGCTGTGGGGCGGGCGGAGGGCGCGGGCCGCGCGGCCCCGTCGGGCGGGAGCCTCGGGACCGGGCCGCGCACGGCCTCCTCGGGCGGCGCGGTGGGGCCCGGAGGCCGCCGGGGTAACGCCACCGCCGCGCCCTGTCTGCCCTCAGCAGCATGCGCTACGTTGCCTCTTACCTGCTGGCCGCCCTCGGGGGCAACGCCTCCCCCAGCGCCAAGGACATCAAGAAGATCCTGGACAGCGTGGGCATCGAGGCGGACGACGATCGGCTCAACAAGGTACGGCCCTCGCCGTCCAGATTCCCCACCTGGCTCAAGCGAGATGACCCGCTGGAGAAAGGGAGGGCGGCCTGCGCCAGTTGGGATGGTTATATGGGGTTAAAAAGTATTTTTGCTGAGGTGGTGGCTCAATGGTAGAGGGCTTGCCTTGCACGCGTGAGACCCTGGGTTCGTTCCTCATAAATAAATAAAGGTTTTGTGTCTGTCTACAACTAAAATAAAATTAACTTTTGTTTTCTTTTTGTAATTGTAGATGGACGGAGAGCCTTTTGTTTTGGTAGATTATGTGGTGCTGAGGATGGAACCCGGTGCCTCACGCATGTTAGGCAAGCACTCTGCCACTCCGCCCCGGAGGAGCAGTGGATCTAACCCAGGGCTTCTTGCCTATTAGGCAGGCGCTCCATCGTGGGGCTATATCCTCAGTCTAAAAAACAATTTTAAAAAAATTTTTTTTCTATGCTGGGTGTTGAACCCTCATTGAGCTACACTTCCCGATCCTTTTTTGTTTGTTTTGGGGTTTTTTTGTTGCTGTTGTTGTTTTTTGAGATAGGATCTCCTGAGTTGCTGGGATTACAGGTCTATACCATCAGACTTATAAAAAAATCGAACTTAATGAGATCTTACTTAACCCTGCTTAAAGGGTTTTTTTTATCTTTTTTTTTTTTGGTGGGGTTCTTTTTTTTTTTGTCTTGGGACTGGGGTGTCTAACCGAGGGCTTTGTGAATGCAAGGCAGACGCTTTGCCACTGAGCTACATCCCAGCCTGACCCTGCTTATTTAAATGTAATGTATGTACTTAGTTTAAGCAAGGAGGCATTCTGTGTTATTTTTCCAGTGAAAGCTTTAGAATTCTGGCACTTGGCTTCAGCTCACAGTATTTCAGTTCTGATGGCTACCATGCTGGTCACTGTGGGTCTAGAAGCTGCAGGTTTTCTTGTATTGTGCCTGCCATCCCTGCTCTTGGGCCAGGATGCAGCAGCTTGACTATGATAACTGACTGCTGGCTGTGGTTGTCTTGTTTAGGTCATCAATGAGCTGCATGGGAAAAACATTGAAGATGTCATAGCCCAGGGTGAGTTTATATGAAGGGACTTTCATTTTCATGTCCATCCTAATTCCTGCTGGTCAACTATGGCCTGCCAGGTTTCGCTTGTGGACTACAGCACTGTAGAAGCCTGACCTGAGTGGGTGAGCAAGGCCTTCAAGGGCTCATGCCGGGGATGCTTCTGGACACTGATGAGTGGGTGGTAGGGGTTGCTCTCTACTCACACTGAACCTATCAGCCCTTGCCCTGGGGGCCTGCCTGGCTTCCCCACCTTTGAACCCTTTTCTCCAGGATTCCTCCATAACTGTGGAGCTCTTGCACACAGTTCCTGCTTCTCTAAGGGGTTGGGAGCAGGAACTGAGGGCCACAGGGTTCTGTCCCCCTTCGCTGAGCAGATGGTTTTTTGGTGACATTAGACTGGAGGTGATATAGCTTTTTTGGAAGTTGAGTGGTTTCAGCAGTTCTGTCCCTGTGTAAGTGACAAGCAAAGCCAGCTCAGCAGTCTGGATTATAAGTTTACTGCTGGGGCTGAGATCTGGACACTTGGATAGTAGACTCCCTGAACAGTTGTAAACATGTTTGTCCAGCTTATGTCCAAGGCCTAATTATAAGATAAAGTTCTTGGGTAGAAAACCTCCCTTTGTGGGTCACAGTAGTGAAAGCAGAGTCCCTGACTATGATTGTCACTGAATCTTGGGCAGGGCTGCAACATCAAGTCCCGGAGAAATGAAAGCCTGTGGCACTGGCACTGTGATGGAACCCTGTTGTGTTGGGCAGGCTAGAGTATGTGGGTGAAATGAGCTTCCCCAGGTCACTTCACCCCTGCAGAATCACCTTCCTGCCTGGGAACCTGCTCTGATCTCATCTCTCTGCTTTTTGTAGGCATTGGCAAACTTGCCAGTGTGCCTGCTGGAGGAGCTGTGGCTGTTTCTGCTGCCCCTGGCTCTGCAGCTCCTGCTGCTGGATCTGCCCCTGCTGCAGGTAAGGGAGGCCTGGAGAGTGGGCAGGGGGCTAAGGCTCAGACTTGATGGGGTCTCTCTGGCAATCTGGTCATGCAGGCATGCTCACCATGGTCTCCTTTTCCACAGCAGAGGAGAAGAAGGATGAGAAGAAAGAAGAGTCTGAGGAGTCTGATGATGACATGGGATTTGGGCTATTTGATTAAATTCCTGTTCCTCTGCAAATAAAGCCTTTTTATGTATCTTGAGTGGCCTGTGAGCACAGTGTCAAGAGCATGGGGCAGGTCGGGCTTGGCAGTGTCTAGGGAGTGAGGGATGAAGGAGTCAATCCACCTTGGGTCAGAGGACTGTCAGGCCCAGCGAGGGACAGTCTTGCTACTTTCAGGTAACACCCAGGAAATTTTCTTCAGAAATGGGAATACTAGAGAAGCAAATTGAAATACAGTGTTGGGGTGGTGTCTGGTGCTCTGCTGTAAGGTGCTGGGTGACAGGTCAAATGGCCCCTGGGTTTCACAGGCCACTGCTCTCCTGTACAACTTGGGCAGCTACAGAAATCCCTGGGGTCTGTTTTCCCTGCTATGTGATAGGAACCCTGCCTCATTAGTACCTACACTCCTAGCCCCTGGGCCTTGAGCTTTTGCCCACCGGTGACAGGCCTCAGGAGATATGTTGCCCTCCCTCTCCAGGCACAGTAGTGCATCATGCACCGATACATCTTAGACTTGGAACTGGGGATACTGCAGTGTGAAAGTACATTTTAATCAGGGATTGAATTGGGGTGAGGTGAGGGTGGCACTGAAGCACAGAGCCACATTTCCAGCCCAATTTTGTCTATTTAGAGACAGAGGCTCAGTTGCTTAGCATCTTGCCAGTTTCTGAGGCTGGCTTTAAACTTGCGATCCTCCTGCCTCAGCCTTCTAGCTGCTGGGATTATAGGCATGCGCCTTGGCACCCATTTTGTTTTGAGAAGAAAAAACGTGAGATGAGAAGAGCTGGAAACCCTGTCCTGGAGGGAAAACTCCCGTACAGGGTGAGGGGGTAGGGGCAAGGCCCACAGGAATTCCTGGGATGGGGAGAGCTTTTTGTGTGTGGTGTTAGGGATTGAACCCAGAACCTACAATTTGTTCAAGCTGATGACAAACTGCTATGTAACTTCAGCCTACTGAGTTGCCTGTACTGCACCCAGCCTCAATTTGCTAGGGATCAAACTCAGCTCTTTGTGCATGTTAGGTAACCACTCCACCACTGAACTGTACCTCCAGTTCTAAATTGTTTTTTTAAAACATCTCTTGCTGGGTGTGGTGCATCTAAAGATTTTTTAGTTGCCTGTGGACCTTTATTTATATGCAGTGCTGAGACTCCAACCCAATGTCTCACACATGCTAGGCAAGTGGTCTACCACTGAGCCACAAACCCTGTTCCTGTATTTACTTTTTGCTGGGCACTATGGCAGTAGGAGGCTTGCAAGTTCCAGGCCAGCCTGGGCAACTTAAACCCTGTCCTGAAGGCCCATGGTTCAGGGTGCAGTTCAGTTCCTGCCTGAACCTTAAAGGGAAGGGCTCTGTGCCCAGAGGGCACCATGGGAGCCAGCAGACAATGCCCCTGGGGCCTGTCATCAGGCGGGCCCTGGGAGTTCATGCTGAGGGGGTGGGCCACAACCCTTGCCAGAATTCCAGGAAGGGCCTGCCTGTTCCTGGCTTATAGCCTCCCAGAGGCCTGCAGGGAAATGTACCCAAAACAGCCTGATCCTCTGTAGAAATAGGGCTAGAGGTCTTCCTGAACTGGGCAGCACCAACCCTAAGGACAGGCCTTGGATCAGGCTGTGGGAAAGGGCTTTGGTGCTGCTTCTCCTTCAGTTGCCACCCTGAAGAACCTGGGAAGCTCTTCATATCACATCCTTGGAGTCCTGCTGCCCCTAGCAGGATTATCCAAGGAAGTCCAGGCACTGGGTGAGGGTGTCTCCTGCCAGGTCATGGCCATGAGGCCATACCTTCTCACCCCCACCACCCAGCTCCCTTTCCCTGGTCAGTGGGTTTGCTGCTCTGTACAGATATTCAAATATTCAAAGCATTTGGGCGACGTTTTTAAGTCAAATACAGTCACTGGTCGAAGAGCCCCTGTTCCCCTCAATCCCCACCTTGGGCCTTTTCATGTGCTGTTTGCCATGACCTCCCGGTGCCAGGACTTGGTTAACTGCTTGTTTACAGAGATCAGCGGCCCCTTCGTAGGGAAGGCCCGAGCATGGCCTCAATTGTCTCATTTTAAGCCGCGCAGTGAGGCCCAGCTGGTTTGACCCCACCGCTCTGCGGGTTCCTGCGCTAGCTCCTGAGTACCTAGCTCCTGAGTATGGGACGGCTGCAAGCACTGGGGCTGAGGACGGGAGAGCACGACCCCAGAGGGCCCCAAGCCCCAACCCTCCGCGGTTCTGGCTCCAGCTGTGTCCAGAGCCGAGCTCCCCTGGGGAGTGAGTGTTCCCCGGAAGACCCGCACACTGCCGCCACCCCAACCCAGACCAGCCCCTAGTCTTGGGGTGAGGCGAGGTGAAGGCTGGAAGCAAGCCAGCCTGGCAGGCCCCACAGTCGGAGGAAGAAATGGGAGCGGGGGCGGTGGGTGACGTCACCCGGGTGCTCCGCCCCCTGGGGTAATTAGCGAGGGCGGGGCTGCCTCGAGTTAGACCCGTGGGGACCCCGCCGCGGGAGGACTCAGGCTCCGACCCAGGTACCGAGCCAGGTGAGTGGCCAGGGTAGAGGGGCGGCGGGAAGGGGACGAGGCTGAGGTGCGTGGAATGCGGCTGTGTCTGTGGGCTCGCGTCCGGCATCGGATGTTTATGGGCCGGCCTGTGGGTGGGTCGGCGGGGCCTGGGGCCCGCGGCCTGCGAGGCCGAGGTCTTTCGGTCCCGGTGGCTGCTGTCGTGCGTCCCTGCCTAGCTCCTCTGTGTCCGGGAGGGTCGTGGACCCCAGAGGAGGGGGCGGCAGAAACCGGAGCTCCTCTCGCGGGTGTCCAGATCCGTACGAGGCTCGCGAGCCCAGCGCTGGGCCTGGGCTGGACCGCCCCACGCGACTAGGCTGCCGTGTGCCCGGCCGCCGCCCG